AAAGGAAGTAAGTGTAGTAAAAGACTTTGGAAACCTTGGATAGCTTTATTGTGAATACAGTCAGCCACATAGCAATAACTAAAAGCTATACTGGCAAAAACTTTAGAAAAGTGAATTATTCATACTTTTTATTAGTGGAGGTCTACAAGAACAATTTTCAGATTAAAAAAAAAAAAGGCAAAATAATATAAATAGTTCACGAAGCAACATTTTCTGCCTCCTCAATTGACAATTGTACAACTTGTGTCATCGCAGTGCTTTATCAAAAGCAAATCTATCCATATTTCTGTTCCTCTAACTGGGTAAAGAATGACATAGGTGATTTAGTCATTTTCCTATATCAGTCCTTAACAGTAAGAAATTTTATAACAAGGTATATGAGTTGGAGGGGATCACTTGCACATCACCATTCATTGACATAACACTAAAAGAAGAAATTTCATCATTTGTTTCAGCTCTTAAGTTTCTTTTCACATTCCTCTTTTTGTTTTCAACATATTCTGCCTTTGCTTCTTTTTCCAGTACTACTTCGGGTTACTGAGTCCTACACCAGTACTGTTCTAATTGTTGTGCCTGATGATGAAACCTAATGATTTGAGCATCTTGCCAAAAAATGTAATCTTATTTCATCCTACCAAACAAGATTCAGAGTTTTCATATATTTAATAAAGACTCAAGTTACTTCATTTCTAGGCCCAGCCTACAGAAATCCAGAATCCAGAAATCAATTTAGCACAGCTACTTCCAGGGTAGTACAAGTTCTTAATGCAGGGAACTTGTCCTAGCACTGTAAGTTTAACAAGACTGTAAGTATTTTGAAATTGTCTTACTAAATGCTTTCTTTCTGGTACAACCTTCTGCTTATGCTTTGTTTATTATTTATGTTTAAATTTCAGGTTATTTATTACCTTCTACATTATAACTGATGATAACTCAAGTGAAAGCTGAGACAAATGAGGAGCTTTTGTTTAGTATTTCTATCTATTTGATTTTTCTCCTTCCCCACTTCAGTGTTTCAGCAGAAATGACGCTGGTTCAGTCAATTCTTAAAGCAAAAGATTTTAAAACTCTAGAAAAATAGAAAATGTTAACAGAATAGAAAATGAATACTGAATATGAAACACTGAGGTTAATGGCATGTCTTTGACAAGAAGGAGAGAACAAAACATCTTTGAAAATTAGACTATGGATGCAAGTGTACAGCTTGGTAAAATTAGTCAGGTGATAAACACAAAACCACTTTCCAGAGCAGACACAAATAAACTGAGTATTCTTTATACTTTTTGGCCTATTTAATGTGTCCTAGACATTTTTCTGAGACATTCTTTCTTTGTCCATTTTACTGTGATATTGGGATTTATCTGATTATACTATAGTATAGCTGGGTGAAATCCTTATTTTCTCAGAGAATACAGATCATTTTAAAGACCATCTTAAATAACATTCTGGACAGCTTGTGTTATCACCATCTGTATACCAAATTAGAAAAATTCTGCTTCTTATCGGCAATAGAATTTCTGGGTCACAGCATTTTTCTGGGAAGCTGAAAATAGATTCTAAGAAGAGAGGACTGTATCTACTGTCTTTTGGAACCTCAGCATGTTCTCATGTTGTCCATGAGACATTTAACTTCTGCTTCACTAAAGATTTCTGTCAAGTAAACCCTCTCATATTTGTTAAAGAACAGTATGATTCATACTCAGCATCAACTGCACCCAAACTAGTAAACATATCTGGAAAAAGCAAAGTCTAAGCATGCTGGTTCTGATTCATACAGTATGAATCTGAAACTTTAGAGTAACAAGAGGTCTGGTTTGCTCTCAGTCACCTAGTGAAAACTAAGCTCCTCAGCTTCTCAGACCTTCACAGTTTCTACGCTGAACAGTTATCTGTTGCCTTGCTTTATTAGCCTTTCATATTTCCCTTTTAAATTCCTTAATATAAAAGGAAATTGTAGGTGGATAAGGAAAAAGACAAGGGTGACTGAGATGCATCACTGACTTAATGACCTGTGATTAGATGTCCTAGGTCAATAGTGAGGCAGTACTGATGACTTTCTGAAATAGAATTCTCTTTTTTATCCTTCATCGCGTTTTAGGTTTTTACTCCATTTGCGACACCATCTTATTCTATTCAGGTATCAGGTCAATCTGACAGTAAAGAATACACTGTCCCAAAAGTAAAACGTGTATAGTTGGATAACATCAGCATATTATAATGTTCTTACAATTTAAATACAGTGCATGACCCAGTCATAAACAAAAGTAAAAGTCTAAAAAGAATTAATGGAAACAGTTTAGTGGTATTTACTGATTTTAAATTTATATCTGTATTTTTTATTATTATTATTGTATCTATAAATACATTGTCATTCTACACTATATAGTAAAGAAGTTTGCTGTTGTTCAAAACATGTCTAAGAAAACTTCCAGTCACATGAAAAAAAAATTATTTTTTGGAGCTGAATACCTTTTTTTCTGCTTTCTATTTCTGGTGGCAGGTGTCTACTTACACTACCATTTGCTGGTTATGTGGGAAAAAAATCAAAGTAGGCAGATTGCTCTGTGAAAAGGAGAGAGTAGCTGTTTTTAAAAAGTTCTACCTATAAACTGAACTGTAAGATAAAAAATTAACAAAATTACAACAAAAATTTTCATGTGCACCACTGCCAAATGAGGCGACTCAATTTCACATTGTTCTTGAAAGAATGCTGGATTTTCAAGGATCAGTAAATAAAATACTGACATTTTAATTGAAAATTAAAAGAAATCCTGTATTTTAAACATTTCATTATGATTTTTTTTCTAAAAAGATATAATAAGTGTATTCTTCACATTTTACTTCTTTTTGTAGTCGCTATTTACTCATGGTAAGTTTTGAAAGGACATACATGCATTATCCCTAGGTAATTCTGAACTATGTCATGTTCTAATGTGTAAAATGCATCAGAACACCTCATGCTGTAACATAAACAACTGTACAGTTCCTTTGCTCATGGAAAATAGTTTTTAATTTTAATAAAGGTTAGTCTAAGCACTGATGGTTTCATCCAGACACCAATTAAGTCCCTTAAAGGATTAGTTGATGAAGTGTTATTGCTGAGAAGTACCCCAAGTAATTAATTATTGTTAAAAAATGTAATGTAATGTATCTAAAGTAATTATAAGCTATTGTTGTTTGATGTTCAGAAAAATATACAGTAAGGTAAACCTTCCATTTAGGTGACTTTCCCATCCAGTTTAGTTAGGACCCTAACTACTAACCTGAAACTTATTTTGTTCTGTGTTTTTCCTTATAGAAAAGTTTATCTAGTCCATGACATACTGAACAATTAATTGTAAATATGTACAAAAATCCCTCCAAGCACAAAGAAACACAAAAGAGACTCTGAACCAGTAAAGTAAGCTTCTTATCATTTCCAACTTCTTTCCTGAGTCATTAATGACAATAATATCCAAATTCTGGGCTCCCCTGGTGGTCTAGTGGTTAGGATGCGGCGTTGTCACCGCCGAGGCCCGGGTTCGATTCCCGGTCAGAGGAGTTCCTCCGGGTAGATGGAGCTCGTCAGCCCTGTAAGGCCATCCATCTAAGAGAAGGTCACTCTAAACAAACTTACGTCCTGAGGACCTCGCTGCCACTGTCCGAGCTTCACTCGGCCCCGGCAGTTGAACCTTAGGATTAAAGGGTGGGCTCAGTTCAGCGCACACTGTGTCTCACCTAAAAAAATCCACTGCGCAGGCTCGAAAGGTAATGACCTTTCCCAAATCTTCGTTCGCGAAGACTGGCCATACATACATACATCCAAATTCAGATACCAAATCCTGATTTGTTAAACTGTTCAGAATCAATGTAGTTAATTACTTTTAAGTTATTCTTAGGAAACTGAATACAGAATAATACATATTACACTGGTCAGGTTAGATTTTAAAGATTGATCTAAAAATATTTACCCATTCATTTTATGCAACAGTTCAGATTTCAGTAAGCCATAATCTTTCAGTCTCATGACTGTACTGTTGCTACAGACTGTTTAATTTCTAAGCTATCATAGGTCTTATTCCATCAAAAAAGGGGAGTGGAGCAGGAATGAAAGGGAAAGAGGAAAGAAGGAAGTTTTGACCTAAGTACAAAATTTAAAAAGCATACAGAATAACTACAGGGATATCTCGTGATTTCAAAGTACTTCAGTCATTAAAAAGTTTTGCAAGTGTAATGTAGTTTAACAAATATACAACTTCTAAAAATTCCCCTTCTTTTCCACAAATCTTATGTGGTTCATAGGACTAAATTAAATCTCTTTTTCTATGTGTAAGTGTGAAGAAAGTTCTTTATGAGATTAAGATGGAAACACTCAGCTCTGTTGACTGCCTTTTGCATACTAGCTAAATAAAATCTAGCCTAAAACAATCCTTAATGATCTTCAAATATAACTGCAATAGCTTTCTACAGGTTTTAAGAGGAAGTGAATGATCACTTGAACATGAAGTCATGAAAAAATCAGCATAAACAACAAAAAAAGCATAAGATTTCTCATATAAGTAAGATAACTGTAAATATAGTTGGTTAGAACACATTGCACTATATTATTTCCAACAGTTTTTACATGACCTTGTCCAAGTTCTATTCTCATCAGAGATCACAGTACAAAAAAAGATTAGAAAAGAATGTTCAAAAGTTTAACACTCATGAGAATGAGGACAGAGTTAGAAGTCTGGGCTATTGTCATTTTCCTTAGGAAAAGTATTCTTTTACCTAATTTTTTTTTTCTTTTAACAATTACACAGATGAAAAAGCGATTGTAAATCTAGGGATGAGGGCAACAATCGACTTGACTTTCATGTTGATATATACATTTTTCAGGTTTGGAACACCAGCAATCTGTTAGAAGACTTGCAAGAAGGAATTATTTGTGTAATTGGACATAGCCAAATATTATATGTGCTCAAGAACATATGTCTGTGTATATGATAATCCTTCTGAAAAAGCTGGCATTTACTTACTGTGAAGCACACTATTCATTAGCAATTCTGTCTTCTGTATATAAGGCTCACCAAACTCCTGTTGATGCAACTTCATGTCACAATCTAGAAGAAACATTTTTATAATGTTATGCATAATCAATAGGATGCTTCAAAACATACACTGCTCCATACAGTGTGACTACTATGAATACAAATGTACATATTATATGTTTATGGTATTTTAAAAAAGCATGTTTTAAAGTTATGTCCTTTTCTGGATAATTATATGTATCAGAAAGCTGGGGATATCTTATTTCCAAAAGTATAAAACACTAATCCTTAAATGACTTAAATATAAAACAACAAGATCACAGGAGCTGCAAAGGGAACCCTACTGTTGCTGAGTAAAATCCTGTCAAAAACCGGAAATATTTCTTGTACTGAAGATCCACCTGCAGGTATCTTTTCTCCTTGAACCTGTGACTACATCTGACCCTTAATATAACAAAATTCTCTAAAATATTACCATAAAGAGGGTGGAAAATGTGGTCAACAATGACAATCTTCAAGCTGTTTTAATGGTACTTACTAAACTTTAAGGCATCTTCTCTTCTAGACATATATAGTGATCTGATATTCTGCTACAAACCATATGTAATTTTTTTGCTGATTATTGAGATAATCTGGTACTGTTGTAATTTATTTCACATAAAACCTAAAAATGTAAAAAAGTTAATGAGAGAACAATTGTCCACTTAACAATTATCCATACTTTACCTACTATGACATTTCTGAGCACAGTAATGGTATTAATAATGCCTAGCTGGCACTTTCCAGAATCCAATATTGAACACTGGCTTGGCTATAATCACAAACATATTCAGAAGGACTTGAAACTAACTTCAGATGGTGGCTAAGGATTTAGCTGGGGATGTCCCAGAGTCTTGTGAGTTCTTGAATGGAAATCTAAAGTGCTAAATCTCAATTGCTTGAACGGTATAGCAGCATGAAGAAGAAGTTTCTGCCCGCACTGAACAGGGTGTTGTCTCAGATAAGGTCCAAGGTACTAATTTAAGAATCTGCTAAGAGGAATATATTCTGTATAATTCCCTTCCTGTATTTTTCTTGCTTTCACAGAACTGCATTTATTGAGGCCCCAATCAGATAAGTAGGAGAAACTTGTAGAAAGGAAAATTCTAAGGAAATGACAAAAAACTGGATAAAGCTTTCTTCGTTTCCAGCAAGCAGGAAGGTTTTTTATTGCCTATAAGTTGGAAAATCTGGATCCTTTTCTTGCTTAATCACACTTTCCTTACATGACCTTGCTCGAGTAACTCCGCTACTGCATGGCTCCTCCACCTGCTCAAGATATAGAATATTTATGGACAAATGAGCAACATAGCCAAGGTAAAATCATTCCCACATCTTCCAGAATTCTTAATATCTTTGTACTATTTTTGAATGGATTACCTAACACTCCAAATTGGTAATTTAATTTCCTTTTTTTTTCTTTAAGTTAGTTATCATCTGCCTCTTTTGTGCATAACAAAGTATAACTTTATTGTAGAAATCCTAATATCAAATAAAACTTTTATGCAAGACTACAAAGGATACTTTTTTCAATGTATCGTTCTGCCAACACATGTTCCTACTGCCTGGAGGGGTATTCTTACTTTATTTTAGCTAGAAGCTGGAGTTCAATGTTAGTATATCAGGCTAGCACAACTTCTATAAATCTTGATTACAGTTCATAAATATATGTGTAGATGAAAATTTATTTTCTTAATGGTTTGTTAGAATCTACCAGAAAAATAAAAATGGAGAAATAGTTTTCTGAAGTGCTTGTTTATACAGCAGCTTACATATTTTTTCCCTTTTCCTTCTCTCCCCAGATTCTAGTAAGAGACCCACTTCATCATTGCCCAACAAATCAGAGGTAACATTTTTTACCCATTTTGCAATGTTATAAAAGAATACACAAGCCAAAGCAATGAGTAATCTGGCCCCAAGTGATATGTGCTTCAGATGGAACAAGACTGTAAGATCATTATAAGAAATGCTGATGCAACTAAAACGCTCTGTGGGAGTCACAGGGACAGAAGCCAATGAGTTACACAGACATACCTAAGAACAGAATGTTGTCACTAAGTTTTAGCAAACAATCCAAGGAAAAGGCTAGAAACTATTGCCCTGTGTAACGTACTTGCTACTGTTTTCTTGGAAGCAAGATCTTTAAAACAGATTTAAATAATCTGTTTTTTTCTAGTATATAACACTTGGAGCCTAAGTTTCCTTACACAGAGACCCTTTTCCCTACTCTGAGAGTTGACAGAATATAAACAGTCTAGAAGAAATCTATACAGGCAGAAATGGGTTTTTTGAGAACAAAAGGTCAGTATTCAGCTTTGAACTTTCCAAACAAAATAAAATATTTGGATTTGGTCTTGTCCTAATACTCAGAGTGTGGCTATGATGTAGAGCACTGTGCCTGTTTCCAAGGATATACGAGGCAGTGAATGAATCTGAGAAAGCACTAATGCTGTTTTGTACTTAATCTGAGTCTATACTAGGATACGGGTAGAATTTCTCTAGAACTAGAATTTCTCAGTCTAGTTACATCTGACTATAGTTAAAATCACACTGCCTTTCCTCCCCTCTTCTCTAGATCAACAGTAAAGCAAATGAGAGTGAATTTTTCTAAATGGGGTGAGGGGAGGTGTAAAACCTTCACTGCTTGTATAAGGATTACTTATTTACCAGTGTACTACAGCATACTACAAATATTATGCAAAAATATAGAAATGAAAACTCAAGTCTTAAAGAAGTGGATCATGTTTAAGAATGGGATCAAAATCACATTATCTCAAATTAATTCATTATCCTTTTCTCTAGCTTGTCTAGAAAAATTTTGTAAGTAAACAACTTTGTGTAGGCTACTGTCTACTCAAACCATATTTTTTTCAATAGACTAGCTTTTAAAATTGTGATGGTTAAAATTATGGGTAGAAAAATTATAGAAAACATTGACTTAAAGTTGTGATTTATGTGAGAACAGGTTTTTTTCTATTTTTACGTACTTTAATTAGATGTTTTTGCTTCAATTTCCCTTGCTTGGGTTTGGTTAAATTTTTGATTTCATTTGTCTTTTGCTAAAGATTTTTTTCCTATATATGGCACTGAAAATAACAATTAAAAAATAAGGTTACATATTCTTATCACTCTTTATCCCCAGTTTACTTTTTATTTGTTTTGGCTTGGCCATACTTTCATTTTCTACATTTTACTTCAACTCATTTCTTTCAGTCATTATTTGTGTTTACTTTTGCAATCTACTTAGTTTTTTCTATCCTGACTTGTTAGGATGATTTTTGTTTGTGCATTAGGGTCCAGGAAAAGCAGTCCTGCTCCACAAGGAATGATGAGCATTGAACAAAAGGTGACCACAGTACAGGCACTGCTCTCACTAGGAGGGCACAGCTTTACAGGATCTGGCTACTGCACAAAGAGCAGGCTACAGATAACAAGATCCATCCAGAGACCTGGTTTATCTGGGCTCTTAGTTTTTTAAGTAAATAGAAAGTTATTCATATGCTAATAGCAGTTCATAAGTTATCATTTATGATAAGATTCTTCATTAAGTGTGAACTGACCCTCCTGCAGTTCATATGTATGACTAGGAACATAACAGAACGGTCTAGCACCACAAAACATATCACCAGATACACATGAACAAGGCCAATATTAGTGTAAGGCTTTGTTCCATTAGCCTCCCCACCTGGATTAGGCTGTAGTGCTCAGACTCCAGCTACCACCTTATTCAATACCTATTGTAATTACAATAGAGAATTGGATTGACCTGTATATTCCCACAATATACATTTATTTGTATATACACTTTTCTAGTGCACTTGAGAAATATAGCTCCTAGCAATTGTCATGGTTGCTGCCTGCAATCTTAATAAACTTCTTAAGTGTTTTGAAGAGTGCACAGAAATACCATCCTAGGCAGGCTGCCAGCTGGAAGGATATTATAAAATACTGCACTTGCTCACCAGGGGTTTCCCACAATATCTCTCCAGCTGGCAGCCTGATCCACTAGACAGGAGCCTCTAGAAGGGCAACACTGTACCTGCTGCTGGCAGATTTGATCACACAGTAGGGGTGGGAGTGTCCCAGGAAGAGCTTTTAACAATTTCTTCAAGACTAGACATTTATGTGGTTTTACTTCCCCACACCTTTGTTCTTGATAGAAATCTCCCAGTTTTAAAAATAACAATAACATATTAACTGAAAATTTCCCCAGTTTGTAGAAATATTCGCGGAATACTAAAATTTCTAAAGATTGTCGCACTCAGTCTGGGAATAGTGAATAAATAGAATAGGACAGTTTTGTACCTCAACAGAGATCTGTAGTGCAGATGTCAAATAGATCACTCAGATTTCATTGGTCAACTAAATTAATACGGATTGTAGGGTGGTTTAGCATAAACAGGAGTTGCAGCTTCCTTAGTAATTTAGGACCATAACTTTGACAGGAGAAGCAAGACAAAAAGGATTTCTGTATCACAAGTCTCACAAATTCATTTTCAAAATCTCATTGAAGGATCTGAAGACTACATTTTTGTCTGTTTTTCAAAACAGTTTTTTCGTTGTCTTCATGAGGACCATAAAAGAGGTTTCTTGGAATAATTTCCCTTCTTTGTGGTGACCAGTGACAGGATCTGAAGGAATGGTCTGAAGTTGTGTCAGGGGAGGTTTAGGTTGGAAATGTTCTTCACCCCGAGGGTGATTGAGCACTGGAACAGTGTTCAAGAAGTGTTCGGACAACACTGACAGAGTTCAAGAAGTGTTCGGACAACACTCTTGGGAACATGGTGTGATTCTTGGGGATGGTCCTATTCAGGGACAAGAGTTGGACTCAATGATCCTTGTAGGTCCCTTCCAACTCAGCGTGTTCTGTGATTCTGTCTTTTCTTGAGACTGAACAGACCCAACCCTCTTAGCCTTTCCTCAAAAGAGAGGTGCTCCAGTCCCCTAATCATCTTTGTAGCCCTCCACTGGACTCACTCCAGGTAATCCATGTCTCTCTTGTACTGAGGAGCCCAGAACTGGATACAGCACTCCAGATGCACGTCACTAGGGCTGAGTAGGTGGGCAGGATCACCA